ATTCATAATGCTTTTTGACACGGCAACTCTAAAATCAAATAAATGGCCTGGCTGTCCAATTATAACAGTGACAGGCTGTTTGAAGTGACGCTACCTTCTGTTTCTGTTATTAATGTTGTACAACTGGTGACTGTAACAGTTACATCGACCGTTGACTTCGAACTTTAAACCTTGTCGCGTTCACTTTTAATGATTGCTAATTTGATTTATTCAATGTAAGCAGGAAACAGGGAATTTATGTTTTTTGTTTTGATGTGTTAGTGTTTGCAGTTTCTTATTCTTTTCCTGATTTGTTCGTGTAACTGAAACGTATGTTATTAATACATAATTTTAGGTTTTGAATTAACAAATTTCGTCAAGAGATCTCGTGAACCTAGTTTTAGGTAATCCTATGTAGTTTAGCATAGGTAACATTCGATTTAATAAGTTTTCCTTTTCTTGTCTGAAACCTCTACATTTTGGGTTGAAATATATAGAAAATAGTATAAATTAGTATCTTCGATGTATCCGTTCTCAAGGTGATCAACAAATTGCACAATGCAGTACAACACCTACCGGAGAGTTGTAATAAACTACTGAACGGATCTTTAATTTGTCCTTTTGTCACCTTTACGGATTAGTTATCGTTGTTTTCTCCCTTAACTGGTAATTATGTGTAACTGAAAAAAAAAACTTTAATCTTTCTCGATGTTAGAAAATCGACGCAGCTCTCTTTAATTCCTAATAGATGTTTGATGGATGTTTGTAGGAGAGAATTTCTTTAAATCTTTAAAATTGAACGATAAAGAGTTGTTATATCCGTTTATTTGGCTAAACAAGTTTTTATCATTAAACCTCAGTAGTTAACGAAGCTTAAAATATTTTAAGTAATGGCTTTGGCTAGCTAGTTGGTCTGTGGCCAAACTAAGTAACCAAACCGCACGACGTATTACACTTTTTGTACATGCTTACTTTACACTCATAAACTCTCTTTATAAACACATCAAAGTGCGCAGGGTATTAGTCACAAAACGAGTCTCACAACTCTATTGACATACTGTAAGCAATGACCTCGTACAACCTCGTTCTTAGCGAAATTTATTTTCAATTGTCAAGTTTCACTTCAACAATGAAAGGACAAAGTTGTAAAAGAAAATTGGCCAATCCAATGTACAATAACTTACTCTCAATGACCCATGAGCACTCCCCAACATAGTTAGAAACTAACGAAATCCAGTAACACAACTCGTTACAAAATCCGTGTAGGTTATTAAAACCCACCCGGCTTAGCTATAAAATGTTTATGAATTGGCCATAATCGAGGGAAATCGTGCGCTTTACCATGGACACTTGTAGCATTAGCACCTACGAGTGTGATCCTTTTCACACCTTAGATTGTAAATCCGAAGGATGATTCACAGTGATTATGTTTTTCGCCCGAGGCGCCGGCCGGTTCACAAACAGCTCCGTAATCACATGTTTAGCCGCTGTTACGGTTGAAGCGGCCAAATTTGAGCTACAGCGGCTGTCAGCGCGGCACCTGACGCTCAGCCTTGTGTCTTATTTTGTGAAAGTATTTCTAGCAGGATCGGATTATGGTTTGGACAGTGATTTAAAAGTGGACGTTTTAAGCGGATTTACTAAATAACTTCTTGATCTATACTGTAAGTACCTTTAGAAGACGGTAAATATCTTAAAAAGATATTACATCGGCGATCGATTTTGAGTCTCCAATTGGCTTCATGATGGCCAGCGTGACTGTTTGAAATCGATACTCATTTTAAAGAGAAGATGACTGGGTGTTGATTGGATCAGCTGATAGCTTTGTTACTGATACTGACTAATATCAGCTGGATCTTTTTAAGACCATTTATAGGGACCTAAACAGAACAGATGGTACTCTTCCAGAACAAAAAAAAAACTGATTGTAAGCAAAGAATTTCTCTCCATTCTACGTTCAAAGGTTAAAATACCCAGTATAGTTTACCTAGTCCAATGTAACATTTTAATTGAAATTATGAATGCATCACCAATTTAAGTCAATAATTAGTAACCTCACATTATAAAACCTATTTAAAAGACTATCCATGTGCAACTAGTTGACGTTTTTCCTAACTTATCACAAAAACCAAAGACCAATAGTTCCAACAAATCCAAAAACATCCTCACAGCAACCAATCAAGCACAGCACGTACTGTTTCGTAGCATTTAAAACACTTCTGCACACTCATTAACAATCACCCGCACTCGTGGTATACCACTGTCGCCAACATAAAGGCCGCATTAGCATACTGTAGGGATGGTAGTGGCCCATTGTTGCGATGGCGACCAGCATCGTAATGATCTTGCCGTGTTTTTCGCCCATTGTTTCGTCTGCCACACGAGAATTGCTAATTTCACAGGTATCGTGACCGCATTGTTTATGCATTTGTGTTCGTTATCGCATCTGTCCACTGATGTTGAAGGTTCAACGAGTAGGAGGACCACCTGTTTAGCATTTGGAGGGAAACGTGTCAGCCTGTGTTGGTGAGGGCTGTGAAAAGCGAGGGAAATGTTGACAAATTGTTTGCAATTTGGGGTGGATAGAGAATTTTGCTGAGTTTTTGGAGAAAATAATTTTAAAGAAATATGAGTGATTTCTTGTATTTTAGCTCATTGAACTCTGTGTACATTTTTCCTGACGACAGCTTTACCTATTTTTTATGCTATATTGTGCTCCTTAAACGAGAAAATATATAATCGAACAAATTCTAATGTGAATGGGTGCAACTTTAATATATCCATATGGGAACAGCTTCTGGGCCAGCCATGTAATTTTAGTTCTGCAACTGATACAACGAGTCATGTAGTGAATTATTTACTTTTACTAGCTGTATAAGGTAGGTTAACTCTACTCAACAGCATTGATGAAGCATCTTTGGCTTTGAAATGACACGACAGATTCAATAGTGAATAGTTTAAGTGTTTAATAAATCTTTTAAATGAAGCAGGACATTTTCAAATTTTAATTGGTACGATGCACTTACTTTATAGTACAAAAATCACTATTCTTCTTGAGCCACCAGCGACACGTCCTCCTACAAAAAGTTTATACCAAAACTAAGTGGTTGAATACTTGTTCTGCTTGGGTTGAAATATAATTTTGCCTTCATAGTTTCCAATGAAAGTCCTAATTATCTCGTGAAGCTATGGCTGTAGACCCAGATGCATTTGTTTATTGGACTATTAATGATCCTGGTAGAGATCAGCTGGTCTTTGTCACAAACAAAGCTACACATCGTGCCTCATAAATCCAACCATCATTATTCAACATCGTCATTTGTGTAAGCATAGCTATGTTTACGTTTCACATGTTTAGTGATAGTGGCAAAGAAATCTATAGGTACTTGATTTGTGTTTTAAAAATATTTTGCTTGTGCGAATTGCAATAAAATATTAAGACTGTTTTAAAAACCATAAAATCTGTGTGTGGTTATCGCTTAAAATATCTTTGTAATCGATCCTTAATCTTAGTGTGTGGTATCACTTGAAAGCTGCATTACCTTTGCATTGGGATTTAGGTGCAAACATAGAATTGGTTAATGGAATTAAGTACAGTAGGTTTACACAGTTTCCAAGGGTTTACACATGTACTGAAAACTTTCATAAGACGTTAGGTTAATATAAAAAATGTGTGCTAGTGTAATTTAAAAGATGTTATTGAGTTGCTGATATAGCCAAACAGTAAAATACAAATACATAATGTTAATTTATTTTGTTCCTTGGCAATTTTTTTGTGGTCACCAATCCTCTTTTTTTATCCAATGCATCCAAAATCTCATTTTCCACACCCATGTATTTTAACGAATCACCGAAATTGTCAGGTAATATATCTATATTTTTCCATATAAATAACTTTTCCGTTTCATAATGTACGTGAGTTACTGAGCATGACAAATAAAATCTCAGTAATTTTCCCGTTAAATCAAAATCCACGTTCATGCAAAACTCTTGGTATTTCATAGATTTTTTGGATGACCGGTCTGCTTATCAAGTTATCAAGAGGTGACTACACATAAACAATCCTGCAAGCACATCCATCTCCAGATAATACTCTCATTCCTGTAGCCACGAGGCTATCAGCGATATTAAGATATCGTACAGAGATTACCTTTGTTACAAAGCACACTATTGTCCATTCGTCCACCAGAATCCCTATCCATTCCCCATCATCCTTCACATTCAATGGCAGCGTTAATGCGGGTCCATTGTACGATACTATCTAGTTCATAGTGGTGACGTCATTGTATTGTGCGATACCAATCTGAAAATTGTGACCTGGATTTGTTGGTTTTGAAAATATAACAGCGGGGGTGTACTAAAAGAAAAGTATGGAACATTTCCTGGTAACAACTGATGAATGTCTTGGATTTAGATGATCTGTATAGAAACCTCATTTACCAAAAAAAAGAATTCCTTAGTGATATTCTGAAATTTTTTTTAGAAATTATTACACTGCAAATATGAAATAAATGTATAACTGAATCGCCTATTTTTCCACAAACCCATCGTTTTTCATCTACTTTTTCTATCATTTCATCCAATCATGATACATAGGCGCAACCAGTCCTCCTTCCATCCGTCTCTGCTCATCCCCATATCCATCCAGTTACATTCATCCCTACCTCAATCATCCCTTCATCAACAATGCGACAACCCATCCATCCACTGCGCGTTCATCTATCAATGCATGAACCTAACCACCATTTGCATACCCTCCTTTGATTCGTTAGTCCATTCAGTAATCCATCTATCCAATTACCCTCGACCCATTCCTTCATTTTACAAATATCGTTTGCTACCCAAGCAACAATCCATCCTCAAATCTATGCTTACACTTGAACCTCCTTTTATCCTCCTTTCTAAGACTCATCAACCTATTCATTTATCCATCCATTCCTCTGTCCATCTATTTTCCACTACATCAGTACTTCTTAGCATCCCACTCCTCCTACATTTACTAACAGATCCTTTGTTCGCAGGACATGCCCTGAGCTGATAATGCAAGATGTGCTGGGGCCCCAGCAAGTGGCTAGCTATAGCGGTTCTGGCGCTGGTTCTGCCATCGCCCACATCGGCTCTAGACACCTGTGAGTATCATTACTTATCTCTATTTTCGGCCTACTTTGAATGAAAATAATCGCGCTTCTCTCAGCACCGAAAGTACCCATCATTTATCACGGTAATTAATACCCTGGATATTTCAAGCCACTCCTATCTGCTTAGAGGAACGCTAATATTATGATGGGTGTCGGGCGATGTTGGCACATTCTTAACACTTCCCGTTTCAAAGAGGGGAAACGCGTGGAAATAGAATGTGGAAGTGTTGGTGATTTGTCATGTATGATTTTTTTGGCCTCGGTGAACAAAGTGTATCGACCTGAGGTTTCAAAATAATATTTTAGTTTTAAATTTTAAAAGAAAACATAGTTTTCAATTAGAAATACTCAAAATAAAATACAAGGAAGGCTGCTGCATCCATTCTTTGCGAAGAAGTGACAGATTTGATTAATATTTCAGCATATTCAAACAATGAATATGTAAATAACGTATTATCGTACAATGTACTTTTTATCAATTACAAATTAGTTTCTAACTGTCATTAGGTTCAGCTCTTTGTGTATGTTAACACCCTTTCTTCTTGTTCAACTGCATTGCAATGGAACTCTATTGAAAATGTAATTGCTTAGTTACAAGGCTAAATCTTACTCATAAGCCCATTGTTATGTTAATTGGTAGTCACAGGAGAGTATAATCTACTAGATGCAAGTAGAAAATCTGTTTCATGTACTTATATTCTGAGTCAAAGTACAGAATAGGAAGCAAGTGGGTGAAAAAATAAGTTTTCACTCGTGAATTAATTGTGTGTAAAAAGGCGATCGAGTTACCGAATTGTATGTGCTATCGAGTGTCGGGTGGAAGCCTACCTGGTGCTCTGTACTGCACGGCCCTTCACGCTTCATTCGGCTGTCTCTGGTCGTTCCAATGGCTTGACACTCGTCCTTGGACTCCATGTCTTTCCATACACGGATTTACAATAACAAACTTTATTCATCATATACTTTAGGCTACATATAAAAATTACTTTTCATATGTTATAGATTACGTACCTGATGTCGTCGTTAATCCTCCATCTATGGTTAGATAACTAGTTTTGATTGTTTATGCCTAATCAAATTGTCTTTGGATCATCGATATTGTTAAAACAATAAAAATACCTTCTAACACAAAAGATAGATAGACATTAAACACGACGATAAAATGATATCGTCGCGGCTCCAGGCAACATACTGAATGCATTGAATGTAACATCCTGACTCTCAAGAGTACATTTTGACGATCTTGTGCAATTTTAAAATGGAGAGTGTTTAGAAATTGGGCATTTAATAATAGATCGCGAATTGACGACGAAGAAGGTAAAAATAATCCATATTTACTTGTGGATAATTAATTATAAGTTACTTAACTCGTGCTTCATATCAGAGTTAGGACACAGAAGGGAATTTGTTGAAATCGTCTCATGTACAAGTTATCAAATTAAATACTAAACACAACTTTTTCTTTCCCTAACTTCAGAGATGAAATAATTGTTGACAAATTTAATAAAATAATAACTTTTACTAACAAAATTAGTTTTTCTCATATTTTGTTCTAATAATTATAAAACGTAGTCGTACTTTGAAGAAAGATTTAAAAGAATATAATCAGTTGTAATCATTTTTGTCTCTCTGTGGTCTATAGGTCTGTGGAAACTCGATTACAAAGTAAAAGCTGAAAATCCCGGCCCTTAATTGTAATAGACGGTTTGTCGATACCTTCTTTGTTACTTCAGAGAGGTTGAAAAGTACTTTGAAATAAAAGCTCGATAAAGAGAAATATAAAGGAATTTGGAATTGTCAATTTGTTTTAAACCACTGTATTTAGGTATTCGTAAATTACTTACAGAGATATTTCAGAAAATTCTTGTACAGCTCAATGTGTGATTCTATTTAAATAAATAAAAAAAATATATATATATATTAAGGAACGCGGCAGCGTTCCGCCCCGCCAAGTCCCCCAGCGGTACACAGCTGCTGCAGTGTATATATACATGACGTGACAAAGTGGCTTTTTTACTCGTCTATAGCTCTGAAGAAACAAAAGCTATTAAAATAATTGTTCATCCACTGGATAGGGGCAATCATTCTTGGCAAAATAAAAAAAAGAATTTAAAAAAAGGTTGTGTTTGAGCCTAGAAAAACTAGTTTGAAAATTCACAAATTTTCCGTGTTCTCCTTCTTCTCCTTAAATGTTGACGGACCTACAGCCCAAACCACTGGCTCAATTTTAATGTTTTTTATGTTGTTTGAAAGCCCTTAGAGTGTAGATGTGCCTTTTGAGGGTCACAAGTCGGTGCGTTGACCCATAAACCCTTGGCAAGCCCTCAAAGTACGATTTTGGCCCATTTAAATAACATGGGATTAAAATCAAAACAAAAGAAGGATCAGCTGCGATTAAATCTCAATTAATTTAAAATGTTAGAGAAATTCATAGGATCAGCTGAAAAATTATTTTAAAACTTTTATAAAGTATTTTTTCAGGTATACCGAATGATTTGAGCTACTTACTATATAAAATTACTTAGAGCAGTGATATTCCCCGATACTTTCCATTGAAAAATGCAGTGTACCGATGGTACACTGGTACAGCAGCTCGTCATTTTTAACAGTTTAATACTACTTATCAAAACATATGAAACCTAGGAACTTGAAACTTAGTACTAGTACTAAGGTTAGTTTTAACATTGTTTCTTCATAATATTGCCAAAATTTATTTAACTAAATAAGGTTAGTTTTATGTTTTGATACACTAAAACAAATTAAACAATCGGGAAAATCCGTCTACGTATGTTAAACAAGCAAAAAAGTGAATGTAAAAAGTGATATGTAAATTTAGGATAAAAATGAGTTTTTCAATATTTGTTTTGCCTTATGCTATTTCTAACAAACCTAATCTGTTTGATTACATTTTTACTTCTCTAATAAGGGCTCAATTTACACTAGTCTTTAGATATACGGGTTTAATTATCGGAACACTTATGTAACACCAATGCATTTTATGTGTAGTTGTGCCCTGGTCTATATATAAGAGAAAAGAGGATTTTTATTTTAACTGTTAATTTTCTACAAAAATAAATACAATCTAACAAAAAACCACTAAGTGGTAACACTTCCCCCGCCAAGTCAGCAACCCAAAAAAGACAATAAATCACCACTTTTCCGCCAAGTAAAACAATGTAATGTATGTAAGTTTGGCCACTTGGCGGCAGACTTTTGCTTGATCACTTTAAAAAATACCATAAAATTAGTTTCATTGAGCAAGTATCTCTCCCAATAGTACATTGCTAGATGAGAGCTTATTTTACAAAATTTGACCTTATTTGTGTCACATTTCATAAAATCATAATAGTGATGGTTTTATATTTACTGATTACCTCGAAATTATTATACTTAGTTGGACTAATTAATTAGAGAAGTTGATTTGTGAAATTATCCACCAACGTAACACTAATGAAAAAAAAAAACAAGCAAAAGTCTGCCGCCAAGTTGCCAAACTTACATACATTACATTGTTTTACTTGGCGGAAAAGTGGTGATTTATTGTCTTTTTTGGGTTGCTGACTTGGCGGGGGAAGTGTTACCACTTAGTGGTTTTTTGTTAGTATATATATACATCAAAGAATCTGGGAACAATTTAAAGGTATATTTCACTCCAAATTGGATTATTTATTCGTAATATGATATTTGACGTCCGAACTACGATATGATTATGAATCAGTATTAACACCATCTGTAAAATCGACTACAACCAACATTTTTGTCGCTCAATTGAACCCTAGATTAAAACACGCCAAAACAGGCTAAAGAGTTGACTGTATGAGAAGACTCGCACTACCAACATCGTTGGTCATTTGAATTGTCTGTCATCTTCCTCAAGGCTAGGTACAAAAAATTAGCATTCCCCTTCATATTTTGTTATCGTCTTGGTTTATCCTTGTGATTCTATATATTTAGATTATGGAGGACAATACACCCAATGAGCTCAATGAGCTCACAGATTATGGGGAGATCACGGTAATTTTGGGAGTCTGCGCGGAATCCTAAATAGATAGGTTATTTCACGTTGCTATTGTAAGCTGATGGCTTTGTATTGGTTGATCTTATCTGCTACCCTTGGTTCCCTTAAGAACTCAAGGTACTCATCAGTGCATTATCTATAAATCTAAAATGTAACAATTTTATACCTGTAATCACATAAATTTCTTAAGTCTATTTAATTGTTTTATTAATGATTCGTGTCTTATGTGCATACATAATAGTAATACCAATAGTATTATAAATAGCCATTAACAACCATCTATAAAAGGTCACATTTCTTGACACCTCATTTAACTTCTCCGTCAACATGTTTTGAACTATATGATGTACAATTTTATTGATTCTATTTAGACAAACTATTGCATGTTAAGAACTTCTTCCTGTGTCTCTAAAAATACATAATAAAATATACTATCAGTTTTGCCACAAGAATTACGGATAAGAGGATTTAACTTGTTGTCCTATGACAGTTAAACATGTAATTTAGTTTTTTTTAGTAGCTGCCATTTTATAATATAGTTTTATACTTTGAAACTGCCTACGAAAACCTGCATTTCCGTACCCATATCAAAACGATTCAATCAAAATGCTTCTATTGAATGTGCTTCTATTGTTTCTTCAAAGATGTAAAATATGAATTACATAAGATAAGGTATTGCAATTAACACATTTTCTGTCGTCAAATCAAAATCCAAAATTCCACGAATGATCCAGGAACGTCAAAAGGATTGTCAATATGTCCCTTTCCATAAGGTCTCATACTTTTCTTCCCTCACCCGATCAAAATGCAATTTCCCTACAGCTATGACGTCAGTAAGGATACACATCTCTAAGCGCACTGGTCTACCATCTCTATCTGCTAAACTCCTTGTTTCACAACGATGCCACTCCTATAATCCTACAAGATCTGAGGTGTTAACCAGCCCGAACAAACTGGTCGCTAAAAGATCGTGACTGGCGGAGGTGTTGTCTGTTTGATGACAAGGTGTCAAGTGTTCGGGCAAAGCCTAAGTGCCAGGATCACCGCCTCTTATCTCAATAAGGACCCCCATTGATACATCCTGTTGCTCAGAGTGAGCTAAACGACAGAGCTAACTTTGCCTTACGTGTGGGAATGAGTTTCCGTGCCAGTTGTGAATTTGTTCCTTCTAAACAGTTCTTGTATACAGGGGGCTGGTCATCAGTGTTACAAGATTTTTTGGTGTAAATACGAAGTATACGTAGTCTGAAGTGATTATGCAAGAGGTTCCAAGTCTGAAACTTGTGAAATTGAGAAATTGCTGTATTGTGTTAAAAAAACATGGTTATTTTAGAAAAGAAATTATAATTCTTTTGGCAGCCAATTATGACTTGGAACATTTTATATACATTATCATTTACTTATGTATTTATGTGTGTACTTATATGTTTATTAAGGCTTCATTTACTTACACCAAAAGATTTTTTGTTACACTGATGACCAGATACCCTGTATTGAGTGTCACTTGTAAGACCTCTAGGAGAAAGAAATGTGTCTATGATGGTTTCTTTGTTTAGTAAATAATTGTTATAGCTTAAAGCTACCTTTTCTAAACACGACTGACAGTTCAAAGTTTTGTTTCAGAAGGTTCCGATACATATAGTCTTGATGGTGTCTGTATTGTGAATACATATACAAATTTGGATTGATTAACTTTCTGTTGACCATGTTAGAATGTTAAGTCTAGGCAGTTATCATTTATAAGGGGAAAATTTTAATTTAACGCTACCATGATAATATTTGCAAATCCTCTTTCAAGAATATAAATAATCATTAAGACAACTACCAAGGTAAATAATGGTTTATTAAAAGGCTTGCTTCTGCTCAAGAGGAAAGCCAATGAAGTAAATTTTTTACGTAGTCAAACATTATGTACTTTTCTGTTATGAATAACTTTAACTTTCTACACATAAGGACAAGTTACAGTCCAAAATGCGTTAACGACAATGTTAGAATCCAAACGGAAAATAGTTTCCGTTTGTTATTTCTCAACGTAAGCTCCACTTTCCTTTTACTAGTATAGGCTATATGCAAAAAGTATTCCTTTAAACTGCAGACGTGTAAGTTTGAAGATACAGCTAGACGATTAGGATAGTATATGTCTATTAATCTATGAGTGTTTAACTATTATTAAGCCTGAACATTGGGTTTATCCTTTATTTCTGTATGTTTTCAGCTCAATGCACGTTACCTCTGGGTATGGAGTCGGGAGCAATCCCAGATGACGACATCAGCGCTAGTTCATCCTTTGACAGTGGCAATGTCGGCCCTCAGTTCGGCAGGTTAGTTTCACTCAACTATACTCTTTCTGGACTCTCAAATGTTAAAATTGAGATTGAATTACACTCCAACATGATACTGATAATGGACAAATATTCAAAGTAGTTTCTAAGTTTTATGAGAAAAAAGTACGATATCACAAAACGATCTTGTCCGAACGAGCTACTTGCGAATCAGAGTTTAGTTTCTTCAGAAATCCTAAAAGATTTTGAATCGAAATTGGTGAATTGGGATGATTATACTCATATTGGTATTATGTGTCCTTTCACTATCACATGTGTGAGTGTAGTAGGCTACTCCATCGATGTATAAGTATTATACATCAATGGGCTACTCATGTGGAATATGATAAGTTATTTCAGGCCAATTAGTTCCTGTACACGCTTTTCAACACTCTCACTGTCCTACAAATCTGATATACAAAAAGTTCTCTTTCCCGCTTCCATGCCCGATCCTCCAGGTGCAAAACGACCAAAACAAAAAGTTGTAATACCAATTACCCCGACATGTCCCGGGACAAGTTTTATAATGAAGAGAGGCGAACGGGGGCGTTGCTGTCGTGTAACACAAAACTCATAACGACAGAGTACGTGTGAGGGAGGAGTGAGTAGGGGGGGGGGGATACGTGTATCGAGTAGGAGGACATTTGCAATCTTGTTTTATTAATTACTCCTACTCGCGGCTCCCAGATATCATCGGCAGTACGCCGACGCACCGGCGACGTAATTATGGCTTGTTTAACGACCCTCCAAATTGGCCTTTATTACTTTTATCTGGGTGTCGGTTTAGGTTGATTAACTGCAAACTGAATCTGTTTGGAGGTTAATCGTGTTTTTATCGAGATTGTTTCGAGAAAAAAGATTTATTTTCTCTCCAGTGATACGTTGTTTATGCACGTAAAAGTATAAGGTTGTTAATTTTAAGTTTTTTTTACTTTTCAAGATTTTACTGATGAGTGTGTAAGCCCATAGAGAAGTTAAATATATCCATCTATAGATCTGTAAAGCAATCTATCGCGATCCGCTTACCCGTGGTAGTACATATAGTTGTAAATAGTGTGGTGTTGGAAACCGAAGAGCTTTATTTGGCAAATCGTCACTCTCATGTCACGGGATTACTGTTCTAAGTTGCATTAAAATTTCATTCACAAAGGTTCAAAATAAACTGACATTTTTGTTTGGACTAAAGTATAAATACTAGAAGATTACTCTCGATGTGTTTATTTATTTTTTAGTTGGAACATCCAATCAGTTCAATATAGTTGAAAAACATGTTTACACTTACTTCAAGACTGTGCACCGGGGTTTCATAACTAATTCGTTCACTGAAATACTAACAAATAACCTTACACAAGATTGTGCTTGGCGAACTTCATATCAAATTAATTACATTCTATTACTGGTGTTTCTAATGTCTAAAACTTCATATTTGTAAACCCTTACCTACTTATTGTATATTTTCCGGTTATTCCTAAGTCTAACAATTTGAGTCTTCTTATTTTACGAAACCCGCCAGAACATTTTCCACACTAAATGTCTACCCTCCTCTAATCCTGCACCTCTGTACGCAGACTCCGGACTGAGAGCCACGGGGGTGCGTGGTGTCCGAAGTACCAGATCACCACGGAGCCCAAGGAGTGGCTGGAGATCGACCTCCATGGGGTCCACGTCATCACAGCCGTGGAGACACAGGGGCGGTTTGGGAACGGTCAGGGACAGGAGTTCGCGGAGGCTTACCTCCTGGAGTACTGGCGGCCTCGGCTGGGCAAGTGGGTCCGCTTCCGGAACGTCAAGGGAGAAGAGGTAGGTTGAAATTTAACTCTGGGTAATAAAAGTACAGACATGATTGTAAGAATATATGATTACGTGTGGTAGGTTCCCGATTTCGTGGTGCATTAATACCACACATTCCTCATATTCTCTTCGTTGATTCCGTTGCATCCCTTGTAAAATTATTTTATAGCTTCGTGTGTTTATTTTACAACATGAATTGAACGCAAATATAGTTGGCAAACTGCTACGCAAACTCAAATAAAGCTATAATCATACCTTTATCACGTACATGTTTATTTTTATATTAAATCGAATATACAAGCTAATATATAGAACTACTCGTATTTAAATAAACACGTGTGCCTAACTGTAAGTAGTTCAAATATCGTATAAGATATATACTTGAGGGTGAAAACACAACAATACGCAACCAGAAGCAAGACTGAGTTTTTAGGATCATTAAACTGAGACCAATTCATCAAAAGCAACTGCAGAAGATGCTCAAAATTAGAGATTATAGAAAATCAATTAAGAACTTCATTAAATATATATTATTTAGCATTAAATATTGACATGAGAGTCTTTTACGTTTATACACAATTTACGTAATTAATTCAGTAAACATTTTTAGCATTACAACCCACCTTACTTTCGTAAAACATGATCACCTAGGAGTATAAAGAAAATAACCTTTGACGCTTCATCTAATTACTATTTATTCCAGAGATCCACCAAAGAGTATTTACAATGAAAATCCAAATTAGTCTAACATGCATAATTCACTCCACAAACAAGCATTATCCCACTCCAGCAACGGGAGCCGTGTGCACCGAGCATAAAACGAATTCAGCCCTTTACCTTCACAATTGTCTGGGTAATTCAGTGAAATTACGGTCCGTTAATCGACAGACAAACGGTCCGGATTACGCTGTTGTGGGGACCGCATAACTCGGAATAAAAATGAGGGATTTGACACGGGCAGCGGCTTATGGTAATGCACAGGTCTCGACCGGGAACAATCGACGACCTACGCTGCGATGATTTGCGCGGGGAAATACGAGCACCCACGCCAGATTGTACGATAAGGCTTATTACGGTAGCAGACCGACTAAATAATAAGATATCGCAAGATACCGGTCTATTAGTTGACAACGATACATGCGGTTATCATGTCCCATTGTTGGTCGCCGCGATGTAGACCGCAGCCAGTTACTGGTTGTTGAATATTAGATCGCAGAGATAGTGCTGTGGATGGAGGTATAATGGTTGCATGTTTAGCTACCGTTGGATTGCGTTGTGAAGTAAATCATGTATTCGTTTGAGGCTTAGTTAAAAAATTTGGGTACGTAAATCAGTTGTGCACAACAGCGCATTCATTCGAGGGCTTCAAGTACTTCAACTTTATCCCAAAACTCTTTGCAATTTACATGACGGGTATAATATAAATTTTCATCTATAGTCAAAATCAAAAGAATAATATATATATTAAATCTATTTTGGGGGGGGGGGCATCCTGGTATAACTTTGTAACTATGACTATTGGTCAATATACGTACCCAATTCGTATTACTGTAGTTTAATAAAGGTACCAACAAAGGAGTTGGTCAATATTAATTGCTGACTTCTCTCCCAAACTGTTCAACCAATACAATCTTGAATTTTGACCAATTGTGAAGAAGAACTAGCGGAACATCTTTTATGACACATGAAGAAAATTGCATAGTTTAGCACAATTGTCGAGTGGCTAATTCAATAATCTTCTATTTGTAACAACACAGATATTGTGAGTCTGTGGCTCACCGTCTTCCGCGACGAACCACGGATCTAAGGCTGCGGATCTAAGAATTCCAAGCATTCTTGTAATGTACTTTCTGTCTGTCTCATCCCTTGCTTCACTCGGTACCTTCAAAGGCTTGAAGTCCATCTGGACAAAAAAGACACGGTTAAAACAGGCTGTTATATTTTTGCAGTAAAAGATAACAAGAATTCTACACCTCCAAATAGATATGTCTACTTCAGTATCCAAAATATGCTTGCTTTGACATGACACTTTCAACGGATCAGCTGTTTCAAAATCTCCAGATAATGAGAACCGACTGAGTGGGAGTCGGGAGTGTTCTGCAGCTCCACCTAGCGGCAAGCCTCCAACTCCTCGACCGGTCTAATGGGTGCCCCTGATTGTCACTAATCGTGTTTTATCACCTTTGATAAACAAATGGTCTTGTAGCGTTTAATGTAACCAGTGTCTGGCGGTGTACACCTCGCGCCTCACACCTCACTGTTATCTGTGAGTGGCTTGAGCAATCGCGGATGTTCGTAGAACTGTATGTTCGTGGAGTTAATTGTTAGTTGTGGATTTCAGAAGGAAAGTTTAAGGGTTAGCATGTAAAACCACGAAGTGTAGGTTTTATTCGATGAACCAAGTTAGTTTCATATTTAAATTAGGCACAAAATGATAATGCCTTTCCAAATAGATAATTGCCCAAACCTAACCTAAACTTTACTTAGTCGTATGAGGATGGAAGTTGTACGTATTTAACAAAGAATCATGCTGCCACCTTGCTCATATTAAATTAAAACAGTGATAACTGCTTTTCTACTTAGAAACTTTGACTACAATAGTCAATAGTATAAAGTCTATAGTCTAACCTAACTTTTAGTTCGTTGTATGTTTGAGAAGGATGCAGGTTGTGATATTAAAATGAAACCAAGTTTTTCCTATGCTTGGATTAGCAACAGTGCTACCAGATAGTGCAGTGGGAGCTGCTTTCTTATTAGGGACTTTGCGAACCTGAACTAACTGTAGATTTTTCATATATTTAAGGATTTTGCACCTTGAAAGATGAAGAAAAATAAATTTTCTCAAACTGTTATTTAGTTATAAGAAAAATTATAATAATATTACTTTTCTATTTAGGAATCTACTATCCTATAAACCAAAGTTTATCATACTTTGTAAGAATGAAAGTTGTAGGACTAGCCAAACAAAGAACAACGTTGTTTTTTACCTAGGAAAACATAATTATAGCAACTTTACTAAACCATATTGACTATATATTGTGAAATCTTATAAACTAGTTTAATGTCATTAACTGATACACTGGAAAATGTTATTGATTTACATAACAAGAAGCTAATAAAATATTCCTGGTAATTTGTATCAACGCCATGTAATATGGGAAGCGACGGGCTACTTTGGTACGGTCACGAAATTACAGATTAGAAACTACTGAACTAGAACTAACAAACTTAGGTTGCTTGAGTTGCAACAAAGTTGTAGGAGTTTCTATAGTAGAAACTTCCCATGTTCTGTCCTTCTAATCATATGAAAACCGAGAACTCCAAACTCCGTGCGGGACGATTATGTTTGGTTTAACGCTTACCAAATCAGACGAATTTTAAAGAACATGTCATATTTTTTAAGGAAGATACAATTGTACATGGCCGATAAGCCGATTTTTGCATTGTTTTTATGGACATTAGAGGTTTGTTTACCGTATTCAAATCGTTATTTTGTACTAATTTGTTTAACTTGGATATTCTTTAAACATTTTTAATTGGGTTTAAGAGTGATTTCATTTGTTTGCACGCTTTCAACAAAATATTTCGACCTACCTCATTTAGTAAAATATTGCAAATAATATGTTCGCTACAATATAAGACCTATGTTGCTTCCTCAACATTTTGCTGAACAGTCTTGCCAAAATGTGAACATCATACTTTATATCCTTGACATTTTACTGCACTAGCTTATAAATCTTTGTTCTATCTTGATATTTTACAGTAATAACTTATAAACCTTTGTTCTATCTTGATATTTTACAGTACTAACTTATAAACCTTTGTTCTATCTTGATATTTTACGGTACTAACTTATATACCTTTGTATCTATTCTATTCTATTGTATCTATTCTATCTTGATATTTTCTAGCTTATAAATATCGGTTTGATCTTTGAATTCCCTCATTATACTTTTATTTGCCATTTCACTATTTTTTCCCTCAGATTGAGTTTCTGGGACTTTCAGAAAGTTTTAACATTAAAAACACATCCAATTAGCCAATGTAAGCAAACAGAAATATATTCATCAGCCCACACTCTAACAACAAACCACGCTTATCCGGATAATCGACATGACGCCCGCTGAGAACAAAGTAATCCGACACCGACGATTGTATCTTGTGGAACTGCAACATCCACGTGTCGCGGAACAAAAGATGGCGCCGCGGAGGGATTTAATTGGAAGTATCATATTTCTAGAGAAACTAGCTCTAACAAGTCAAAAGTGAGGTCATGCGCGGCAAATGACAGGTTCACCGTACGGGCGGGGAATAGCTAATGAGGCGAGGCCGGGCCATTGTTGTATAGTTATCTTGGAGCAGGGATTGCTCGGGATTAGCATGGGATTGATATATCATTACAGAGGTGGGACGGTGTAGGTGGACCGCACGATGTCAAACGGATTTGGCTGATTGGCTGACATTGGCTGGTTGAACCTAGATTGATCGTTGGAGAAGGTAAGGGTGGTTATGAAAGATTTATTGACTCTAGATATTTGCAGATGATGAAAGGAGAAAACAAAAAAACTAGTTTCAAGTATTCGAAAATTTATGTTTTTACAACAATATACGGTATCTTCCTCACTTTCTGCGTTGTATGATGAAAGAAACAAAATGTAAGAATTGTGGGAACAAAATTACACATTCGCACATTCACTAATGAACAATTGTTTCCAAATAGATCAATTCTATAGTATTATTTTTCCAAGAAAACTACTTGGAATACGCAGTCATCATCAGTCAGACGTGCGTGACGAGACATCGCGTGCGACTACAAACAGCAGACCTCAGATATTCATAGCTTCCCAGATCAATACCTCTGTCACCATACCTGGTAGACACGGTTGTAATGTGAGGCATCTAGTGCATCTAGTGTGCTGTAGATGCAGTACAGACACTCACACTGAACCAACGATGTAGTTTTTACATCGTTGCACTGATCAGTCACAGTAATCATCAGTCAGACGACATGATATGCAGACATCAGATCTCAAATATTCATAGCTTCCCAGATCAATACCTCTGTCACCATACCTGGTAGACACGTTTGTGAGGTGGAAGGTGGAAGGTGCAGTACAGACAATTACACTGATCAGTCGCAGTCATCATCAGTCAGACTACATGATATACAGACATCAGACCTCAAATATTGATAGCTTTCCAGATCAATACCTCTGTCACCATACCTGGTAGACACGTTTGTGAGGTGGAAGGTGGAAGGTGCAGTACAGACAGTTCAGTCGCAGTCATCATCAGTCAGACTACATGATATACAGACATCAGACCTCAAATATTGATAGCTTTCCAGATCAATACCTCTGTCACCATACCTGGTAGACACGTTTGTGAGGTGGAAGGTGGAAGGTGCAGTACAGACAATTACACTGATCAGTCGCAGTCATCATCAGTCAGACTACATGATATACAGACATCAGACCTCAAATATTGATAGCTTTCCAGATCAATACCTCTGTCACCATACCTGGTAGACACGTTTGTGAGGTGGAAGGTGGAAGGTGCAGTACAGACAGTCACACTGATCAGTTGCAGTCATCATCGGACAGACGACGTGATATGCAGACATCAGACCTCAAATATTCATAGCTTCCCAGGTCAATACCTCTGTCACCATACCTGGTAGACACGTTTGTGAGGTGGAAGGTGGAAGGTGCAGTACAGACAATTACACTGATCAGTCGCAGTCATCATCAGTCAGACAGCATGATGTACAGACATCAGATCTCAAATATCCATAGCTTCCCAGATCAATACCTTTGTCACCATACCCGGTAGACACGTTTGTGAGGTGGAAGGTGGAAGGTGCAGTACAGACAATTACACTGATCAGTCGCAGTCATCATCAGTCAGACTACATGATATACAGACATCAGACCTCAAATATTGATAGCTTTCCAGATCAATACCTCTGTCACCATACCTGGTAGACACGTTTGTGAGGTGGAAGGTGGAAGGTGCAGTACAGACAGTCACACTGATCAGTTGCAGTCATCATCGGACAGACGACGTGATATGCAGACATCAGACCTCAAATATTCATAGCTTCCCAGGTCAATACCTCTGTCACCATACCTGGTAGACACGTTTGTGAGGTGGAAGGTGGAAGGTGCAGTACAGACAATCACACTGATCAGTTGCAGTCATCATCAGTCAGACGTGCGTGACTAGACATAGCGTGCGACGACAGACATCAAACCTTAGATATACATAATTTCTCAAATCAATACCTCTGCATAGGAGATCTATCGCATTGTAGAACGGATTCCCGTTTTGTAGGTAACAATATTTACCGTTAGAGGAATGATATGAACCTTTAAAATCATTATATAGTTTTCTTTGTCCAATAGTATTGTCAAGTTACAAAATTAACGTGACAGGTCGGTTGCTTTTAAAGGTTGCTGATTGCTTTTTAATTCATCGAATGAGAAAATTACTCTTCCTGCAAACAGTCCAATATTCAATACTCTTTTTTATATATAATTTGAGCTCTTATACTAATCCGCGTTTCTTTATAGTTTTCGCTTGTATAACTTTGTATTATACAATACATTTCCATATTATCTATTGCAATAAGTTTTTTTTACTTTTACTGCAGATATATGTTAGTTGAAAGTTATAACAAATTCTTGAATAAAAATTATTATCTGGGGCAGACTTCTAGTGCATGACTAGTGTCCTTAATCATACGTAACAATCGATGTTAAGTTTATGATATTTTAAAGAATATTTGTGTAGTTTTCCATTGATAATTATCTATTTTATCATTTTTAATGCTCCAACTAGTTGCAGTAGTAGTGTGCTAATTCAATCCAGTTTGTTAAATTCTAGCTTCCGTCCCATTTGAAGAAAAAGTCAGATTCGGGATCCCAAAACATTGTGAATCTGCCTTCTATTTTGAAAACAAGTGTCTCAAATTTTCACAATAATTCTTTTAACCAGAAACAGTAACGGTTTATGTGGATATAAAATATACCCTGGTTTGGAATATACGAGTCATCTTTTTAGTTTTGCATAATACAACCTGGTGCATTAATACCCCCGCCGCAGCAAACCTGCCGACTAAGCGAATTTCCATTTGTCTAAATTGATTTTCAGTTAAATTATATTTTAATAACATTAGGTTTAACGAGTACCTAGGTTTGCTGCTACAAGGAAACAAATAAAGTGTGTTTTTGAGTAAAATATTGATAGCTTAGTACAAAATAAATAAATTTGACAAGTTTGATCAAAATATATTCATAAACAAGCAAACTACAACATTTGACAATATTCTCCATAAGAATAACATGGGAATTTTTAATTTACAATTTTTTAAATTTTCTCCGTTACTAATAATTGAAGAAAAATACTTTTATATACTAAATTATTTGTTTTTTTTAAGCTCTTTAAAAAGGTCTAAACAGAAATTGGGAATTTTGTGTTTTGAGGGGCAAAAGTGAGAAAAACCAATTTTTACCCCATAAAACCCCCCGTAAAGCCCCGTTCCCATGGTCCGATCGTGCTGGTTCGCGAACTCATTCAAGTTTATCCCGCTTTACACCTTTAAACCAAATTTCATTAAAATTGGACAAAAATTACTCAAGTTATCGCGTTCACGGACGTATATATATATATATATATATATATATATATATACATACATATATAAAAATTTGAACGAATAGTGTTTTTGGCCTCTGGGGACATCAAAATGAAAAAGTAAATCGGTCCCGGGTCTAGGTCTTACCGTGCCACCTACGGTAATAGCTACTTCCCTATAGGGAAATTCGCTAAAAAAACAACTCAAGTATGCTCAGTTGGTAAATTGAACTAAGTTACTATTTCTTTTACTACCTAACTTGACACAAATTTAATAGACAGTAGAATTAATTGTGTACTGCGTCTATGGTCAAAATATAGACCTGCAACACCATTGAATAAAACTACGCATACTTATGTGTTTTCTCTAATGTTTTATAAAATTGTTACAGGTGTTGCAAGGCAACACGAACACTTATCTGGAGGCCAAGAGGGACCTGGACCCCCCAGTATGGGCCAGCCGGGTGAGATTCGTCCCTTACAGTTACCACCGCCGCACCGTATGTATGAGGGTGGAAATCTACGGCTGCTACTGGAAAGGTGAGTACGGTTTTTGTGTAAATCATAGAGACTTGATATATTTTATGTAGTTTAGTTTATTTAACACCTTGATCAAAAGAATTTACGTCCACCCTCGCCTTTGAATAATGAAGAAGACTTCACATCGTTATGAATTATCTGTAGGGTAGAACTACTAAAAAGTCCCTTTATATACTTGAGGTAGCTGAATTGACCTCGATGGTAGTGCATAATCAAATGTTAAATATAATTTTTTTTCGTTATCAACCAACGAACATGTTTTGTTAAATTACACATATTTGAGTAGAGCAAACAATTTTTTTAATAAAATACCTGCTTTTTAGAGGGAAAACAATCGATTCAACAAGGCAGTTTGAGGTCTATTAGACAGTTATCATTGTTTCTAAATATTGCGTATACATAGAATAGCATAACTAAATCATGTATATCTAGCAAAATATTTAGATTATTTGATACCGTGGTGGAGTGATCATTCCCTGTTGTTGGGTGGATAGCCCACTTAGTTTAATAGGACCTTTGAAAGCCTGATCTCGATCAAAAAGCATACATCCTGAAGACCAACCCCTTTTGTAGTTCAACGATTCCAAAGTTTTTTTCTAGAAATTATTCAAAAGCAATATTTTCACTTCTTTAACAACTTTGTTCTCTATTTTTGCTCCAGATGGCATAGTGAGCTACTCCATGCCCCAAGGGGACAAGCGAGGGGCCGGATGGGAGTTCTTCGACGCCACCTACGATGGCCACTGGGACGGTCAGCTGCAGCGGGGTCTGGGACAGCTGACTGATGGCAAAGTGGGACCCGAGAACTTCAAAATGGGATACTACGATTATGAGAGAGGTAAAGATAAACAGCTTTTGTAGAAATTTGTTCATTTATTGAATTAGGCTGAGTGCAGTTTTCAAAGTAGTATTTTAAATAAGGGGGATGGCCTACTTATATTTATGATGAATTTGAAGCTTTGCAGGACATCTATTGTTATTCATAGAGGGCATATTTTTAAGCAATACATATAATTTAAATTTGGCATCATTTTAAGTTTTTTTTTTTCATTTTCAAATTGCAATTAAAATGCTATAGACGTAATAGATACTAGGGTGTACACATGGACGACTTAAGTGGAACTACAACCAAATAAAAATGTACAAATACCGTTACAAGTGTTAGACTGTTGTATGACTATTTGTATGCACAATTATTGTACAAAAACTGTTTTAAAAGTAAATTACCTGAATAATGTTATTTTTAAAGACCTAACAACGTGGTGAAATATACATTTAATATTAGACTATTATAAATCATGAAAATAATACGAAAATTAAACATAGGCCTAATTATCAATCTAATAATTAAATTGCAGTAATACAAATAATATTGTACTTTCCTTCACTAAACTGTATTTTATAAATAATTTTTCCCCTTCAATTACATTTAAAATTTGATCAGTGATCAAAAATAACTACAATAAACTCTCTTGATCGTCTCAGGTAACTCGGAATCGAATCAAATCATTATACCAAAATTAAATATATTTTTAAGAAACACTCTCACTAGGTAAATGATGGCAAAGTATTTATTTTCACTGTGTAGTTCATAGAATATTTTGTTCCAGGGCAAGGCTGGGTCGGGTGGAGGAACGACACGAGGGCCGGGCAGCCTGTCGAGATCAAATTTGAGTTCGACCAAGTGCGAGAGTTCACCGCTGTTCATATCTTCTGTAACAATCAGTTCACCCGAGAGGTTCAGGTTGGTGAATTCACAAGTCATCAAGTAACTTTCCTTCAAAAATTCATGCATTCGTGTTCAGTCTTGCATGTTTGAGTAATTTATGTTTCTCTTGTGTTTGGAAATATTATTCAGGATTTTGGGATATCAGGATACATTTTTATTGTTTTTGAAAATGTTGGAAAAGATTTTTTACAAGTTTTAATTTATTTTTTGTATTATCTGGTACAATTTCAAGTTAAAATTGTTAGCACATTTCTTGTCCTATATTGAAGATATGTTTGGATATTTAGTTTATTACTACCATTTATTACGTCAAGGAAAAAGGTTTTGTTTGAAAGATTTTATTCTAAACTGGCAGTGTGCTCGTTCTACGCACAGGAAACTAGATAGAATGATCTAGATACTTCGTGTCCAAATTAACTTATGAAACTCTCAGTACTTTCGTTATTGGATCAATAATAATTGCTGAAGTGACACACAAATCTGCATTGCAATTAAATTTATTATAACATTTCTACTTGAAATCTATGAGAGTTTTTTGTTTGGTGATGAAAAAAACGAGGTAACGAACACAATCATCTTTAAATATTGCGTACTTTACAAACATAAATATACAAAAGCAAATGGAACACAACTGCAATGTTCAATGTTCAAGGTAGCATTGTGTCACTCTATTTCAACTGGAAACTTTTAGTGGTATGGTTGTCAGTTTTTTTCCTAAGACCCTAGGCACGATCCCGGGGTGGTTTTTCACATTACTTTAGGCTAAGGGGTTGCGACATTACCACTTAAATCTAATTCATTGGTGATATGGCGGAATTGAACCTGGGACCGAAGTCCCGCGCTCTAACCACTACACCAGCTCGCTCCCCCGTATGGTTGTCAGTTATGTGTTACAGGTTCAATAAGTTTAATCATCCAAGTATTTGTGTATACAAATTATAAATGCCAGTTGAAACCTATTTTCGAACAAATTAACAAAAGCTTGTATTAACTTGTATTGGAATTATAAATATACGGCGACTTTTGAAGTCCTCGCATATAAAACTATATGTATTTAAAAATTATTGAGGAAGAAACAGAAAAAAATACATTTTTATTTTGTAACATGAAGAGTTGCCTTTGAAGAAAGCGTATTTCCACCATTTTTTTATTTATTTGTTTAGTTTCAATTCATCTAAATTTGTCAGAAAAATCAAGTGTGCTACAATGTTAAATATTGTGTAATCACACATTTAACTTTCTCACAGTTAATGGAAGAGAGTAGTTTGTAGGACGGGTGACACCGAAGGAATGTTACATTCAAAAACCTTGACTTGGAATTCGCGCCTTCACTTGCGGCCAAAACGGGTCAACGCTTATTTATTCGCGATTTAAAAACACTTCCTTGATTATTTACATTACAAATATCACACAAGTTGCGAAACAGTCAATTGGCTTTCCTCTGCAGTTGAAAATGTTGCGTAGACTTATATTATTAGTAAAAACACCTCTGGATTTTTGAAGCTTAAAACATGTTTTCAAAATGTGTTATTTTATAGGTTTACGAGTAGTTATATAGAGGATAATAATCAAGGATTTCCATAGTTCTATTGTATATAAGTACAATAGAACTATGGAAATCCTTGATTATTGATAACAAAACATTTTACAAGTATTCAGAAACCGGTACCAATTTAATTATTCTAAAATTACACTAGTTTCATTTATACTCTGAAGGGTCAATTAAGTACACATATAATGGATTTGGGAAGCTAGGGTGATTTAAATTTATCGTTTATTTTTAAGAAATTTATGATATTTTATTTGCACAATAGTTATAAACTTGATAATTATAGGTTTTTATCATATTATAATTTGTATTTACTTATTTAAAATTTTGTATATCTTAATATCAACCAAGCACAAATCTAGTTACTTTTCACATCAAACTCATCCTCAAAACGCCCAGTAAGAACTCTTCTACAACCATGCAAAACGTTTTAACATTTATTGCCAAAACCGTGATGCCAAAAGATACTAAATAGATTCAAATTTATTCTCGGTGTTTAGGAGTAATTTATGAGCTACTGTCGCTTGTTCAGGTGAGTTGCAAGTTATGTGGCACTGAACTACCAACACATAATGTGAGGAGTCAAGTAGCTCACCTTCGCGTGGGCAGGAGTGTCATGTGTCTCTTTCTTTCTCTTTCTCTTGTCTCTTCCTCTGTCTTTCTCTTGTCACTCGTTTGGCAACAAACCCGTACACATGTCCAATTATTGTACTTGTACTTGTTTGGTGAAATTGTTTTAGACGGTGTTTTCCTTGTTACTTTCCAAAAAGTAATTGTGAAATTCCGTGTCGCCAAAACTTGTTTACAAATTATTGCTTGCGTTTGGTTGAATTTTTACGGGTATATCAAAGGAGAAAATTAACAGGTTTGCTTTGTTTTAAAGCTACCTAGTGGTTGTCTGTCAATTTGGAGACAACATAGATTCTTTGTGTTCTTGTAGCTCAGTCACAGTAACGTAGCCAGGATTTTGTTTGGGGGGGGGGGGGGTTTATCGACTTAGCGTTGTTGGGAGGTCAGGTATGTCCCATAAGTAAACTTAAATTTAGCCTATTACATGATTAAATAGTTCAACTGTAATAAATAGTTCAAACTCAATAACAACAAATAACAATTACGAAGACGGGAAGAAATATCATGAAAGACTTTGACTTGATGAATATAATCAAACAATATAATATATGACATAAAACTTTGGGAAGAGGGCTGAAGCTCCTTAACAACCCCCCCCCCCCCTTTCGTTACGTGCCTGCTCGGTCATGTTAACTCTTCACCTCTTAGTATCGGGTCGATAACTATTAAATAATATCGTATACTAAAGCTTGGTTATCAAGTTTTGTCCACGTTCTGATCAGTAACCCATGAAATAGATTTCCAGCTACAAAAACTTCTTGTATTAAAGTTCCTAATAAATTTTACCAACAAATTGTTTATTAAAGTCAAACATGTTACAAATTTCATATTTTAAGTTCAAGATCTGTTTATTTTGCTCTTAATAAACACTCTAAATTTGAACGTATTTATTCGGAAGGCTACCAAATGAATTCCCCGTTTAAATTTCCATTCTTCAAAATCCAACACCAACTGAGCGAATTGCTTAAAAACTAAAACGGAATCAAGCTAAAATTCTGAATATTAGATAACTCTTTAAAGGATTAAGTACTGCAATATGTGCTTGATTTTTTATGGTGAGTGGTTGTCGTTTTCACTGTGCACATAGAGGAATACAGTAATCTATAAAATATTAGTGAACTATTTCTGTCGATGCTGTAATGAGAACTTACTTTAACTTTGAAGTTGACAGTTTATTGACTAGAGCGGGAAGTAAGTTGAGCCTTGTCGTCTGCCCGTCAAGCGTCAAACATTAGAAAGCGTAAGTCGTCAACCCCAAGTGTCAAGCTCGCTGCGTGTGTGAACAGGTGAAGCGTAAATACGTCTCCCTCTATCTGAATAGAGGTTTTGACAAAGAACTATATACTTACATTTTGAAAAGATGAATTACTAAACATATTTCTAATAGATTGCTCAATGTATGTGAATGGGGGTGGGCGAAAGTAGTTCAGATAGATTACTGGACTATTGTGGTGGGTTAGGGCTGGCTTTGGTGGATTAAACAACAAACTGTTGATTAACTGTCTTCATACACTTACTGTCGTTGAGTCATGAAACTCTTCTGTACGAACTACTGAACGTATTCTGACTAAATCAAAATTAGGTGGAATTTTGGATGAGCTACTAAATTTTCATGAGTTATTTTACGGATTATTATACTTTGGATTACTTTGTATACGTTTTGGGTTAAACGGGTTATTTATTTTGGATAGGTTTCTGAACTATTCTAGATAAATTACCCAGCGCATTTTGTTTGAGTTTCTAGACTAGACATTTGGATTGATTGCAAAAATGTATTTTGTATTAATTAGGATAGTTGTATTTTTAGAGTACAATTACTCCAGTCTAGCCGATTAAATGTCTAAACAATGTGTCAACTAGAAAATAGAAATACGATTTGCTAATAGGATTTCTGCTACAATTCTTAAAATCACTCTCTTATTGCAGTCAAACCCTTGTAATAAATTAAATAAAGGGTTGAAAACACGTATGTCGTTTTCCACAGTCCCCCTCGAAGAACAGTTTTCAAACCATCTACATTATTTATTTTCTTGTGCCAGGTTTTCTCCGAGGCCAAGATCATGTTCAGTGTGGGAGGCAAGATCTACCCAGGAGAGCCTATCACATACAGTTACATGGAGGATCGCATCTTCGAGCATTCCCGCAACATCACAATCAAGCTGCACCATCGCATCGGACGATTCGTCACTCTTCAGCTTCACTTTGCCGCTAGGTGGATCATGATCAGCGAAGTCAACTTCGAGTCTGGTAAATTCATCTGTTTGTTCAGTATTTTATGAAAGAAACTTTTTTTAAACGTAAATAATTTTGTCTTTGGTATGTTTTGAGTCTTGCCTAACTGAAACGTTTTTGTGTTTAAGTGTGTACCACTGGTGCTTGCCTTTTGCATTATTTTGTGTGGATGATTTAACTGTTTCCAGACGTATTATTATCAGGAGTCGCAGTCAGATTGGCACCACGACAGATTGGCACCATGGTGTTTTAGCACCCGGCGTCACATTGGAACCTCGTTGACATGAGGCCATGAAATATCACCCCACGTCAGCTTGGCACCACGACAGATTGGCACCACCCTTTTCTAGAGGTTCCAATCTGTCGTGTACTGTTACGACTGATTGGCACCTCTGCGGCCGCCGTCAGCTTGGCACCGCGACAGATTGGCACCACCCCTTTCTCGAGGTTCCAATATGTCGTGTACTGTTACGACTGATTGGAACCTCTGCGGCCGCCGTCAGCTTGTCACCACGACAGATTGGCACCACCCCTTTCTTCAACGCAGTTTTCTGCGTGCAATATTGAGTGGAGCTGGAATATTAATCCAATCCTTCTCTAAAGTCAATCAATACTACACCTGTTCCTCGTGAATGAGATTTAACTACTTGCAGTATTCAAGTAGAGACGGTAAATGTACAAAAAAGATGGTAAGTGGTAACCATTTACCATATTTTTTTGTGTATTTACCATCTTGTAACAGTATAAGCGTAAATATATGTTTTTAATGTTATAAGACGTTTCTTTTATTTACTTTCCATCTAAATAACGTACATTATAAATTACGTTAAAACGTTAAACGTTAAAATATAGTTCTTTAATTTAAAGTCAATCACTTCAACAGTCATTCTATAGATTCTTGTGTAAACCATATTAATAATACTGCAAAGGGCAGACGTATCAAACTGTTACGACTTCCCGAAACATTAATCAAATTTTAAGTTGATTCAAGTTTTGGAACGGTCAGAGTGAGGCAGAGAGTCTGTCAATTATCACTAATCGTCTTGTTTTCCGGGTCCGACTCCTATTGTTGGGGCGTACATACATCCACGGAAACAAGAGATACTGACTCATAATTAATATGTTCAGTATAAATATGTAGCTTGTGCAACTTTTTATGATCTACAAAAACAAATATCATTACGTTTTTGGTCATGTTTTCTTTGACATTTTATATATCAAAGTTTTTATATCAAACTTGAAAAAAAGATTTCTATGATATGCAAAAGCATTAAAAGTTATAACATTTACCAACAGGGTGCAGTACTATATTTTTTTTGCATTTATGACAACAGCTAATTTGAACTAAGCAGCAACAAAATGCTGTGCTACTCCATGTGAACTGTCAAAGTAGGATTGTTTACAGTTATGGTTATGTTTTCAAGTTAATAAATCATTTGTGATATTGTGTGATTTGATTTTTTTTTCTATTATTTATGTGCAGTGGTAAAACATTATGGCTATGGTAGATGTGTTATAAAGTACTATAGCATAGCGTAAATTTAAAGAAACAAATTTAATTTTACCAAATCGTGTCCTTCCCTATTACAAAAGCAAAGCTTGAGGATAACTGCAATAAGCACTTTATGCTTATTTGCTAACCCCGTACGAAGGACGGGTACACTGCTAGTACTATTTAAAACCAGGGATAACGTTACCTATAATAATTAAGACTTTTTAGTTATATATTAGAAAGTTGAAATGAATTATTTTACTGTGAAACCTTTCAAATTTGCGAATTTTTAAGCGTATAATAAGTAGTTGAATTTTATTTTTATTTTATCTACTTGCCAACGGACTTTTGCTCATGATGACTAGATAGCCTATCTATATATAATAACAATGAAAGGAATGTCAATTGTAACAATAATAAGAATAAAGTATACATGTGAAAAACATGGACAAAGAACAAACTAAAAGTAACGATAAATAAATGCATAGTTGAATAAATAACTAATAATAAATAGTTTCGATAACTGTTTAATGGAAACCTAGACAGTCGCAAAATATTTAGGAATCAGCCTATTATTAGGCCTATTTTGATAGAATATGTGTCCATAGGGTCAATCGCACCTTTAGGTGGAATACCACCACATAAACTTACATTAATTGTATTTTTTATGTTGATCAGAAACAAATCTAGGGTTAAGTTTGGTCAATTGGATGCCTTTAGTTTACACTAATTTTGTTAAACCTTTACAAAAGGAGTATACACTTAGAAATAATAACCGGGTCGGGATGGTTTAGTGGTTTTTACCAAGAACTGAGCTTACCTCAACACACCTTCATTTGCCTTTTCATATTTGACGAAGACAATTTCAAAATTTTAATCAGCGAAGCCTATTTATGACCATTAACCATAAGACCAAACACCAAAGCTACCTTAGTAAACCAGTATTTATTCACAAACAATTATATGTTTGCTGCATTACAGAGTTAAACCTCTGGAGTGAATAAATTATTTATTGAAAATAACGTCAACAGAAGCAAACGATGATAAACAAAAAACTTGTTTACACAAAAGATATCGTGTACAGGGATATTTATTCTGACACATAGAAAATATAATTCTTACAAAAATTTGTTTTACATTTGAGCGCTTTAGGGACTTATGCATGTGGTTTAAGTTTATGCATATTGTAATATGTCATATGTACTGTAATATGTGTATTTTTTTATAAACCTGAATGATCAGTTCAATGATCAGTATGGATGATAATTAAAAGTTCAACGCGAAATGCTGGAAGACCGAATTACAATTTCTTTACCGTGAAGTACTATGTAACCTTTCCCGGGAGGCAGCAGGTGTTCAAATAGTTTCAACCCTAGGTATTCCGAAACGGACCTGATGGCATTTCCGTTCTTCCTAGGATTGTTGTTGATGGGTTTATGAAAGTATTCTAATTTTCTAAAGAGTTTGTATGTCTACACGAATGACACATGTTCTTCGTACAAGCGAATAACCTTTCTAATATATTTCTCAGAAGTTTCAATTTTATGAAAAACCTTTCATGACTTTCTAGTTCACGTTGATATAGTCAGGAGTCAATTTCTTTCAGTTCGATTACATAGTAAATATTTTAATTAAAGGTACCGGCTTTTTTTGCAACCTAGGCAACTAAAAATTTTTGGGTTTAGTTTTGAAAATTAGCCGTTGTCATCAATTTAAACAATTAATAGTACTGCACCCTGTTGGTAAACCTTATATCTTTTTAATGTTATTTAATATCATAGAAACAACTTGAGTAGTTGAAACAGGTGGCAAAACTATTTTATTCCTGCTCGTAAAAATTCAAACAAATCCCTTTTCGTAAGGAAGAAACCACAACTACTTCTTGAGTGCAAAAACCGCCAAACGTCTGCAAGAAACTCGCCAAATGTGTAATGGCCCTTTTAGAGTGATTTTTTCATAACGCTTTTGCTACCAGATAGCATGTTTATAGAATGATTTTTTTAAACTGATTAAGCATTGTAGTTTGAATCAGATGTGGCATTAGTTAGTGAATAAGGATTCTTCCATTTCGTGCTTCGTGGAATATACAAAATATCACAGTCAGGGCCCACAGTAAAATATGTAACAATTGCTACTAAAGATTTTTGCGTAAGACGAACGTACTATTTGTGATAATCAACAGCTTGAGCGAACAACTGTTAGTAAGAATAATGCTGCTACCTGGTTGCTACTTACTACTGCACTAAAAGAAAGAAACTTCACTTTTCACGTTAATTTTCACGGGTTTAATAGCTTTATTGTTGTTATACTTTTCCGATGAGCTCGGTTATCTACGGAGGCTTGATCAATTGGGGCTCAGATTATCGTGAGTCTGCATATGCTGTATTGGGGAAACCTAACCTCATGTTCAAATTTAATGTTAGAAAAGTCATTATTACATGTACCATACCATGTTTACTCATATTAACTCAGTGTCTTACTTACAAAAAAAAAAAATGATTTCCATATTAAAGTTAATTAAAATCATTGAAACCCCTTTATTGACAGTACAGTGTACAGTACACTTAATACGAGTACCGTATATCAATTCACTACTGACATAATATGTGCGGCAAATTTAATCTAAATCTGGCCTGGTTTACCTTAGCTATTATTTTCCTCGTGGTTCAATAACCTGGCTTTAAAGTCGGGGCGTCCTCCCCCCCATAACAGGTAGACGGGCAATCCTAATTCCTTGTTGACAAACAACAGTGTCTTTGTTACGGGCGACCACCAGGGACTGCTGGCATCCTCACGCTATTCAAATTACGGAGATTTCTATATTTGAGTCTGCAAGTTATGTGGCATTTCCAACTGTCAATTTGGTCTTCAACATCAACGTTGACATTAACAAACGAGCGGACGTACAGAGAATTTGAGGAAGCCGGAAAACTCCACGCTGGGAGGGTTTCGAATATTTTTTCAAGCACCTTTTATAAGATGATCCTTTTTTGAAATAGGACAAGGCCATAAATAAAAACTAGCGTCAATGCTGTGACCCTTGAAGCATTTAGGGGTCGTTTTTTATTAATGACAGTTCAGTTAACTACACCACACCATCTGTTTCTCAATCCTAATATTTGTAAAGTAGGCCTACTGTTAGGACCAAGCCTTGCTCAGTAGTATTTTGATTTCGACTAGTTTTTGTTATTACTGTTGATCAAGATCAAGATTCCTTAAATAAAGCGTTGGCCTACTAGGAAAACACATGCGAATTGTTAATGTTAACACGAAAAATGATTAATATAAAACGTATTTTATTGTTATGTACAGAAACATTGAGCGAACTGTACATTACAAAATAGATGACCCGGCGAACTTTGTACCCCATAAAAGTAAAAAAAAAGCCAAATCAACCGGCCACCTTTATAAGCCTTTTAAAAAACAATCACAGACAACATAAAACAGCTGAAAATGACTTTCAATTACATTACCTGTCAAATGTTTAATCAGCTGTTTCGAAAATATTTAAATTAATGTATGCATATGGTCAAAATCCATCATATTTTTCTTCATACGCATAACATACATATGTGGGGCTTAGCCCTAAATTTAAATACTGAACTGAAGATACATGTGTTAATCGGGTTAAAGACGAATCCAACAAATCATAAATCATTAAAAAGATCCAGCCGGTCTCGAGTTACAAACTGCTTAACTAACACGACATCATGGCATGTAGCCTATATCTAGATGCATACTAAGAAAGTGTTTAAAAGTATTTTTTTCTCAAAGTCCTGATATGAGGTAGAAAATCCATCATGGCGACCACTTTCAATTTCCATAGCTTTATATATTTTAATTCACGTAAATATCACGCCTAAATAACCCCATTTCAGAAGATTTGCATACAGTATTCACTTTAACCATACCTCGAGTTATACATTACCTGATTTTAGAGTTTTGGTCCAAGAAGGAAGTACCGGTAATTATTTTATAGGGAAGGCCTACTTGCGTGCAACCGCATCTTGTTTACAAAAAGGTAAATTAAGTAATAAATTACAGCATCTCAAATATAACATAATTTATCACTCTATAATGCATAAAAAATATCATTTCATTGAAATAATATTAGTTAACTGAATGATAAATTGTCATATCTTTGACAAGCTGTAACTTCTGAATGAAAAAACCCTTTTTAACCAGGTTAACGCACACCCCCCTTCCGAAAAATGACTGCAAGGTTTCATTCAATTGTGCCAAATACTTTAGTAGGTATCAGACGTTTTCCAAATTATAAACTTAAATTTAATGGCATAATATTAAAAGCCTTGAGGAACTGTAACTTTGATTAGATGGACCATTTACGAAGCGGTTTGTGCTGTTAAAGTTAATGTTATTATCAATGTGTATACATTAATTGACATGCATCAAGTATTGACACGTTTCTGCTTTCAAACATCAGACTAGTAAGTAAAACGAAAAGGTGGGCCTATTGAGGGCAGCGGTGCCAATCTGTCGTATACTGTTACGACTGATTGGCACCTCTGCGGTCGCCGTCAGCTTGTCACCACGACAGATTGGCACCACTCATTTCTCGAGGTTCCAATCTGTCGTGTACTGTTACGACTGATTGGCACCTCTGCGGCAGCCGTCAGCTTGGCACCACGACAGATTGGGACCACCCCTTTCTCCAGGTTCCAATCTGTCGTGTACTGTTACGACTGATTGGCACATCTAGGAGCGGTGCCAATCTGTCGCGGTGCCAATCTGACGCGGTGCCAATTAGACGCGTACCCATTATCAGGAGTAGCCTGTCAAAGGATGTGTAAGAGACTACAAATAGTTTTAATGCAAAATATTGATCGAAATGTGGACATATAACAGTCTTTGTAATAAGGAAATGTTAATGTTACCTAGTTGAAGTAAGAATTAACAATGTGCTATTGTACTGTATTTTAAAGTTATACACCTATATTTACCGTTTTGTTTCAGATATTGCTCACGGTAACTTCACTCCTGAAGAACGCTCAGCAAGCGAAGGTCCAGTATTGAGTGATGTCTTCGTTGACAAGACAAACCGACCCCCGTTAGCTGATCTACCAGGTGTGTAATGTTTTACATTATATCTTGTTTACAAAGTTAGGGACGACGGTTGATACCACGTCCACTTAGAGAAGTTGTTGGAAATTCAATGGCTCCATCTTCTGGTGCCTCGTATATTTATTTTACCTTCAATACAAAATTGGTCTTCGTATTTGAAAAACGTAATTATTATACTGCATTACGATAGAGCACTTGTGTGATTTTATAAACCACATCACCCAAGAGTTTAATTTTCAGTGCCAACAGCAATTCTCTAAGGCCAAATAACAAGAATCACCTCAAGTTGTTCTTTAGCATTGAGTTTTTGTTAACAGAATTTTAGCTTAACACACTTGTTATCATATAAAATGACTCGTTCTTCACCAAAGCTTCCATAAACATGCGTAATCAATTGAACCTAGTTGTCTATGGTTTGAAAAATGTAATTATTTATATTCTTTCCTAGATTTGTCCTACCTAACAAACTATTACATTTCTTGCAGTGTCAACAGCCAAGCAGGAAGACGAGACCTACATGGCAGTGCTGATAGGGGCGCTGATGGCAGTCATCATTCTGCTAGCAGTCGCCATCTTCCTTATCGTCTCTCGCCACAGACAGTCCAAGAACTTCGCGTCTCCTCTGGCAGCCAAGGCTCCCTCAGGTCAGCACCAACACCTCTCTAGCGATAGCAGCTGTGGCACAGCTGAGAAGTGCGGCGCTCCCTACTGCGCTCAGGGTGTCCTTGGGCCGGACACCGCGCTCCTGATGGACGCCAAGCTGGAGGACTACCAGGAGCCATACCAGGCGCTCAAGTACGCCCCCTACTACAGCTACAGCACGGTTGTCATGGATACGGTCACTAAACAACCCCCGCTGGTAACACATCCTGGTGAGTTTGCGGTGATGATGCAAAACAGATCAAGTTGACCAGAGAGTGAAGACTTTTTGATGGTCTTCCCAAATGTTATTTCTTGTTGATTGTAACAAATCTTCATGTTGACATATTCATATTTTAATTTATTTTCGCATGGACTATGTTCACAGTTAGTAATTCTCCAAATGTGTTTGATTTTTAATGCCAAATGTTGTAATGTGATTAACTTTTGGCCAAGTTTTGTCTCTTGATGAATTTTATCAGAATATTGACTCTAAATCCTTCATGAAGTATCCTATTAAAATTCCCACTGACGCCCAAGAAACCATCAAATACGTCATTGCAAAATATTTATTCAAAGGCTTACTTAATTCACACACCCCCCTTTCATAGAAATTAACTTCAACTTTTCCTGTTGCAGAGACAGGCCACGAGTACGCTGTCCCAGAGATAGGTACAACTCCTCTACTGACCGCCTCCCCTCAGTCTAGAGGCACCTCCACCTCCAAGTCTAGCAAGGTTAGTGTTGTCTACGAGAATAAGCCACAAACATAAATTGAGATTGCATTTCACAACGTGTGACTTTTTAAGCGGCTTAAACAAACCCCCTTACGGATTTGACATACGACTATCGAATACAGTTGGGTTTGATTTACGGTCGATGACGTCATTTTTGTGGTATAGCCACCACCAAGTTCTTCTAGTGGACGTGGTTAGCGCCATACATATTCATTACCTCATTATCATCGGCTGCCACTCTTCTACCGCTTGTTATAGGTTGACACTGCTTAATTATCTCGGCGACTGCCGTTTGACAACTGTGTTTGCCGACGATTCAAATAATTATTCAGTTCCTTCTGCAATCGTTATCATTTTGGAGTGGTAAAATGGATACATATTGAATGAACAACATGTAATGGTAACGCTGAGTATTAATTATTAAAATATGTACACTATAAATAATTGTTGATCATTTCAAAAATTTAAGTTGTCATAAGAATCGCCAGAGAATATCATGGTAGCATTGGTACCCTACTTGAATATTGCAGCAGAACCGTCATACTCCGTGAATATTAAGTGAGTATCGGTGTCCTCTGTGAATAGCGCGGCATCATACAAAAAATATTGCTGCATAATTTATTCCTCCTCGAATATCGTTGTAGCAATATTATTTTTATGATTCGTAATTTTATGATCGTTAGGCCTACTTCGTGGATTAGTTTTATGCTTGAGATAACATTGGTCGAACGAACATTGCTCTAGCTTTAGCACTGATAAATCACTTAAGCTAGTGCAATTTCTTACAAAATGTGATTTAGAATATATGATTTAAATTAAATGGTGTCCTCTTAACTGTATTATGCATGTTATAGGTACAATCACCTAGCCAGCAGGAGGTTTTGACAGCGCTCAAGAGAAGGCTAGAGAACACTTCTGTGCCGGAGTTCCCTAGACATCGACTGAGGATGCTCTCTAAACTCGGTGAAGGGGCGTTTGGCACGGTAAGCTTTAATCCTTGACAATTCCTTAGCAGCTCAATTCTTTGCATACTGTTTACTCAATATCGTGGATGGGGTTTTCGTCTGAATATGGCGTGTTTTAATGACCAATAAATCTGGGGTTGTCTAAGACACATGTCTTTCTTGGAGCCTAATAGTATACTTCCGAGTAAACATTGAGATTAGAAAAGTAGCAAAATATGAAAGTAACATGTTTTATTTGCAGGTATACGTGGCAGAAGCGGACGGTATTCTAGAGTATGGTACAACAACATCTCTGTCTAAACGTCTGGTGGCAGTAAAGTTCCTCCTGCATAATGCAAGTGAGAAGGAAAAGTAAGTGAAACATTTGTTTTACTTTGACAAGCAGCAAAACATTCAAATTTTCATGTAGTTGCTACTGAATATTTTTATATTATAATGTAAGGTATAATTATGAGAAAATGGACTTATTCTAAACGTATAGAATAAAATTATCCTATAAACCTTTCTTTTTATGTCTATTTCCACTCATGTAGTTATTTCTTTTGACAATTTTATGTAATTTAAAATATAGCTACAGTGCTACGTACAAACAGGTAGCATACTAGTATATGGAGAAGTGTGACAACAACAAAAGTTACTTAAATCATACCACGTTTTTCTTTGTATAATCAATACTGTCTTTCACATCTAGCTAGATTTACACAAATCAACACCATTGGTGCTTCTTAACACCGACAACGAAATATTAATTATCAATAAGTCTAAGTAGACATACATCTAGGCCCTCAAGGTATAAACCATAACTTCACAAACCCTATGACTTTTGAAAATTATTCACCAAAAATACAGATTAAAATATTTTTCTGGGGGGTCCATCTCATTTTTTCTAGATGAACCAAATATAAAGCTGACATAGTCTAGATGTTCCTTCTTTATGTAAAGAAATTTTACAAACTTTTTAAACTAATGAAATATCTCACCATAAAATTTTTACCCATGAACTATTTTCTCTTCCAGGCAAGACTTCCAGAGGGACGTCCGTATCCTGGCAGCCCTGGAGGACCACAACATTGCCAGAGTTCTGGGAGTGTGTAGTCAGGACGAGCCTCTGTGTGTGGTGATGGAATACTTGGAACATGGAGACCTCTGTCAGTTCCTCAGGAGCCATGGACCAGCTGATGCAGCTACCACGTTGCCCATGGGAGTCAAGACACTGAGGTGTGTGGAAGTATTGACTGATAGAAATGAAAGTAACTATGCAGAAGACGATATTGGAGTTTCGTTGATTTATTTTACTAGGTGTCCAGCAAAGCTCAATAGGTTCTTTTTTATTTCTGATGAGAGCCTCTAGGAAGAATTTATTGGAGTAGAATGAAAGATGAGATTTGATATGTGTTGTACTCTCAAGGTATTTTGCTACTGAAAATGTCATTTTTCTTTCCAACCTTGCTTCAAAGCTAACATAAGCTCATAATAAAGCTTGTTTCCAAGGTAACCAAACGTTTTAGACTCACGAATCTTTTTTAATAGTAGAAACCAAACTAGGCAAGTATGAATTAGTTCAAATTATGCCTATCTAAAACGCTAGAAGAAACTGTCTCTAAATGGGAATCAGATTAAAAATGCTAAAAAGTTATTTAAACGTAGGCCTACTCCAAAGTGTCCTATGATGTTGCTCTAGGTAACAATGTACAGAGCCATCTTGAGAACCTTTTTCTGGAAGTGTTGTAACTTAAAACATGAAATTTCATTCTTGGTCCGTTCATTAAAAATAATTGTTTTCAGGGGTGTAGCTACAAAAATTAATAGACCCTTAAACTATACTTTCAAATAGTGTTCAGTTTGCTACTCCCAAAAAGGTAAAAGTTAATAGAGAGTAAAGTAATTGTAAATTTTTTAGGGTAAAAAATTACGTAGAAATAAAGGTGTTTGATACTTAATTTTCTCTTATATCTGATTAGGTAGAATGTCACCATGATACTTTTTATCATTTTAAAATATTATGGATATAAAATGTTAAATAAAAAAAGTAAAAATATTTATCGACAAAAATGTAAGACAATTTTTGAAAAGTTTAATTGGAGGGTATTAGTATTTACTATATCAAAATATTTTCATAAGAAGGTACATTTTTTAAATATTATATTTTTTGTTTGTTTGCATCAGGGGTCTTGGGTTGCGCAAGTACATATTCGTGAAAAACATGTACGTAAAGAGAACCCCTTTATCTTATATTCATTACCATTGCAATTCTCAATAGAATAGTTCAAAAGCACCTGTGTTAGACCATAGCAAAAACTAATTAGTCATTAGATCGTGTCAATGTGTCCTCTTGAAAGTTTTTGTAATAGCGTACCTTAAAAAGGCACTAAATATGTCTAAATTCAGTTCTATAATTGTTTGTAGTTTCCTTTCAAATTCTGCATTACTCCCTTTTCTAGAGGTTTGTCTCCCTACATCAATCATGTTTGTTTGTTTTTGTTTAGCCTAGAAACATAACTGCCAGATAAATAAATGTCAATCACTACTAAAAATTTAAAACTTGCATTCACAGAATATAGCTTTTATCATCATTTAATTCCCCATTTAATAATTTAGTGTGTTAATTTAAATGTAAAAAATATGTTTTACACTCATGCACTGCATACGTTTGTGTGGTAAGGTGCTAAGCAAAAATTATGGGCACAGAACTACACTTGAATTCACGAAACATCCTAATGTGTTTTGTTTTTGTGATATAATTATATTTATAAATTAAAAACGAATGGAGAAAAATGTGTCCTTAAAGTATTTGTTTCAGTGTTCTAAAGTTCAATTGATATCACTTAACGACACGTCATATACAGTAGTGTTAAAAGTATCCTATCAAATAGGAGCTATTCCATGCACTGCCATTTTGGAGCTACTCGTATTACAATGTTGACAATGAATTACAACATTTTAAATTATCTTTTTTGATAGCATTTTAGCAGAAAGATTTGTTCAAAAACTGTATTGTGTTTCTACACTTAGCTTAGCACCTTACTCATGTAAAATGTTTTCAAAAGCATTTGATGTTTTACATTTAAATAAGGATGATAAATATGTATAAATATTTTTTGGAACAAATATGTTGACTTTAAATAAATTAATTTTTTATCTTTAATAATTTAAATGATCAAACTACGCCGAACTACTTCAAACATTAATATTCATTATTAAATTGTTTACATGTTTGTGAATGTTTTGTGTTTTAGCTACAATTGTCTGCTGTACATGTCAGCGCAGATAGCTTCTGGGATGCGGTATTTAGAGTCTCTCAACTTTGTACACCGTGATCTCTCTACAAGGTGATTATTTGTAAATCATTTCTCTTTAATTAATGTGTATATTTTATTCAGCATAAATGAGCCCGGAATAAATTTAAACATTGAACATATGTTGATTTCTCTTAGGTTTGCAATTGGATTGAATATCTAGAAGGTATTCTGCCTTTTAAGGCAACCCATGTTGAATTAATACATATTTATGTATAAATTCTTGACTTTGATACTGTAGTAAACATACCATATGTATGTTCCGTCTGTAGACAGTTTACTCACTCTAGGATAACACAGTTGTGGCCTCTCAAAGAGTGAGCTACTATAAAAGTCTAATTTCCTCTGGTTTTCATACCATTATGCTGGATGGGACATAGAATCCCAACAGTGTACAACACTTCTCTCTTTATGTTTGGTGTGGCTAAAAAGTTTTCACACAAAGTTTTTCACAAGCAATTTTTGATATTTTACAGCAGAACACTCTGTCGCTGGCTCAAAAATTCTCTTGTTGGAATCTATACTTTACGGAAGTGTAATATCTTCGCACTAAGGACATGAAAGATTCTACATAGTTTACAATAATTTCCCTTGTTTGACGGTCGGTGTATATGATAAGATAAGCAGTAAAAATAATCAAAGTCCTGTACTATTTTTTTTTGTAATCTGGCCTGAGTAGTAAGCCTACTTAAAAAAAACCCATGTTTCTGAAACAAAAAAATTGTAATAGTAATTCCAGCCTCAAGGCTTAGTAATTAAATATCTTTTCTAGGAACTGCTTGGTTGGTAAGGCTTACCACATAAAGATCTCAGACTTTGGAACTGACAACGACATTTACGCAGAGGACTACTACAAGGTGGACGGTGGAATGGCATTGCCTGTCAGGTGGATGGCTTGGGAGTCTATATACCTGGTGAGCAGAACAGTTTTTGTGAAATAGTTGACGTGGTCTTGATTATTTAGTTGCTTAGTCATATAATAAAAGTCAGTGTAAGACAATTAAGCATGTGCATGTTTGATTTATTTTTAAATTAGCTTTTCGTTAGGAGTGTGGCGATGACTTAGTGTTGAGGCCGTCGACTCCCCTCACTTATGTGCATTACTTTTTCATATTTATTTATATAGATGGTCTGTCTTGTTGTTACCTTTATTGTTAAGTTTTTATATTTCTTCAGAGTTTACCGTACCTTTTGCACACTTTTTTTCTGTAAATTTGCTGTTTTTGCCTCCATACTATGTATTTATTTTGCAGTGTTTCATAATTTTGGGTTTGCTTATTGTTAGTCTCTACTTCGTCAATATTTGTTATTATTATTGTTCCTGCATGTTAACTAGTCTCTACTCTTTATTGCCACTTGCTGTGATATTTATCATATATTTATTTTCTCAACTTTGTTTCGTTAATTCTAAGTGTAGGTAGTAGATAGCTGTAATGGTCACACGCATGCATTATTACGTCATTTTTTTTTGGCCATCTGTAAAAAATTTCAATGTACAGTATGTACAATGTAAAATGGTGTTTACCGTATATGGATAGATAAATAAATAAATATTGTCATAAGACATACACATTTCTTAAGGTAATATATAAAAAAAAATATTAAAACTAATAATTGTTAGAAACGAATAGCACATACAAATGATAATTCATCTCTTTATAGATTAATTGTAAGTGCTGTTCGTTTCTAACAATTTATCTTTTAGGGTCCAATGGCTTAAAAGCTTTCAATTTTACTCTATTTTTACACACTCCCCAATAGAATTAATTGTGAAAATTTATAAGAATTGAAGTTGATTAAGTATATAAAAATTAGGTTCATGGGAAAACCCAGAAATGATATGTGTATTTGACTTGATTCTAAAATTGTGTGTTACAGGGCAAATATACAACGAAAAGTGACGTGTGGTCTTTCGGCGTGACTCTATGGGAGATCCTTCACCTTGCCAGGCGGCGTCCCTACGACTCCCTCGCTGACGCGGAGGTCGTCGAGAACCTCGGTCAGCTGTTCCGGGACGAGGGCGACTTCCTCTACCTGCCCAGGCCGGCCATCCCCCCGGCGACCAAGGACATCGTCGACCTCATGGGAGAGTGTTGGAGGCGCAATGAGGTCGAGCGACCGTCCTTCCGCGAGATCCATCTGTTCCTGCAACGAAAAACACTGGGCTACGCCCCCGTATAAGACTTTGGGGGGGTTTCCACAACGACCAATGTACATAAGAGATGTATATATCGAGTAAATCTCTGAAGAGTTCCGCGGGAATCCTTACTGACTAGACGTGTGCTGTAGATTGTGAAGTGGACGTTTCCACGCGTTAGAGTAGATTAGAAACCCATTGCCTTGTCGAACGACTTTAGTCTGTTGTAATATATTTTACAAACCGTTGAATGGTCACCTGCCTTACAGGCTGTAGTCAGTGTACCCTCACCTCAACTAACACTGCCGAAGCACTGGTCTCTGCCGCATTCGATGTTTCTTCCTCCACATTTTCTCTCTTTTTAGTTTCGAAATTATCTGAAAGACGCATTGTAGATTTCGACATATCTATTTTTTCACATATCTTGCGTTTAGTCTGAAAATCTGTGATATAATATAGGTTTAGAGATATTTGTCGTGTGATGTGACAGTGCTGGTCATAAATTGTAAAGAAACACGAATTTTGTAAATTTTGTAGTGTACTTTATTGTTACAATCAAAGTGAATAAAGGTACCAATGTTTATAGAAATCACAATGTTGTGTTGTTATTTTATCCCACATATTATGTATTTTTTTATCTTTTTGCTTTATTGTAATTTTTGGTTGGTTTTATTATAAGGCTTTAAAAATTGAAACTATATTTCCTAAAGTAATAGTGATTATAGCAAGTAACTGGACTTATTTTCCATCAATGTTAATACTGTACAGTTGTTAAATAACGATGACAATTGCTAATGCGACTTAGAAATGGCTTAGGTCAGTGGTAAATAAACTACTGAATACTGTCTAAAAAACATTTTATGGTCATCCAAATTTCCTAAATTATATTTAGATGTCAATTTGAAACTTAAAAAAATGAATAAACGTATTTTCTAAAGTAAATTAGCCTATCTTTGTAAAATAGATGGACCAAAGGATAGTGACATTAGTGACAACAAATTGCAGGAAATCTAATGCTAGGTGCTATTTTATTTCCTCAATAATTTTTTTTAAACAATGTTAAAAAATATAAAATAGGTCTAGGATGTTAGAAAAACGAACTATGATCCATTTGTTCCTCTTTACCTGTTTACCATAATGTAAAGAAATAACCAAAATGTATGTTGCTGAAGGCCATAAGCTCATCCACAAGTTAAAGAAACACAACTGTAAATTGAAATATGTGCATAGACATTCCAGTAAAAAAGCTTCCATCAATCATATTTTTGTTTGCTACAAAAGTATATTTTTTTCAAAAATGGAGAAGTTGGTACCCTCTTTTATCTTGCATTTGCCCATTCCCATGGACCATATAGGCCTGTGCGTGGAACGTAATCAGCAAAGCAAGTACCAGGTACCAGGATTTGAACCAACGACACTTGAATTATTAAAGTAAGCCTTAAATAAGTAATCTTGATTCACAAGGGTTTATTTTTACAACATTTCAATTTACATTTGAACCACAATATACAGGTTTAACCTGCATCTCAGCAAGTCCACTCTCGGCTTCAGTCAGAAGGTCGGACGCTGCCCACTCGGAATCATAAAACAGCATCACCTCAAATTTCCCCAATTATCACACCTATTAGGCTCGCTGTCGTGCTCTGTAATCATCAGCTGTTTTATATTCTAAGACGCATTTATTACAGGCTCCATCGCATTCGTTTACATTTGTTTATGGCTGGCTTGCATCTAACTAATTGACAGCTGGTACAACTTTACAATGTGCAAGTTTACGTGTTTATTTTTAAACTCTCGATGACAACATTGTTTTTCGTCCTAGTGTAACGTAATGTATTGTTTGTCAATGATATAGTATATTACGTTACTAGTCCTGAAAATAAATGTTTACCGGACGAGTGTGGTCGTTCCCGTGCGAGACGAAGTCGAGTACGGGATTACCATACGAGTCCGGTACACACATTTTGGACGAGTTACGTACGATAGTTTACGCCATACTACCTAATTCGTCCAGATCCTTATATATTTCCACCAACTAAAGGACTAAACATCACCAGTCATAACCTCCAAGAGAGGTTATGTTTTTGTTTATAACCAATCATTGCCACGCAAATACAGTATAATCAGCTGATTGGTGTCCGGTAAAACTCATTGCAGAACAGTATTACGCAATGAAACCCCATTTGAATAAGCTGGTGGCAAACAGCTGTTTTCTGGACTAAATCCTTGCGTGGGAAGTTCGTCAAAATAGTGTAGTGTGGCGTAAATTTAATTACACTGCACAGATGTTTTATTACAGCTGATTTCAATAAAAATTATCAGTTTCCCCAGATGTTAATGTAAATGGATAAACAATCAGCTGATTTTCTATTGTTATGTGTTTTCGCGTTCCCCTAATGTTTTTATTTACCCACTTTGTGCTAGTGTTTCGGTTTTACGTGTTTATTTATACGATTCATGTGTATGGTAAACGACTTAAACTTAATTTTATCCTGGAAACAGTTTTAGAACCGGGATATTAAAAAGTATCAATTTTGTTTTAATTACCATTGGGATCTAGCCATTGAACAAGCAATCTTAAAATCTATAAACAGCCTTTTTAACTATCCTAAATCCTATATATTTAATTGCGTAAGCGAGGTCCCCACGAAATATCTTGAGCTAGAAAAAAGGTAGTATGGATTTTAGTGTTCTGTTTTTAGGTTAGAATGGAATGCAGTGTTAAAATGTATCGTGTTGGGGGAAAACCGCGACGAAATGTGTAAAAAAGTGTGTATTTCACTTAAATTGGTATACATAACTATACAACAGCAATTGCTGCTATGGTCCCCTAGTTTTGTATAAAATTTGAAATATAAGAAATAAAGAAATAAAAGAAATAAAATTGAAAAAAATATCAGTTAAATAATATAATAAAAATGAAATGTAGTACAATTACGTTCTTATTATAAACCATTATTCTATAATGATAAATATATGTAGCACAGAGTAAGACAGTACTTTATTTTATTTTTAAAAAGTAAGATAGATAATGACAAATGAACTACTGGCTCAAATCACGACAATCATGGTTTATATTAAGAACGTAATTTTACTACACTTAACATTTTTTACTATATAACTGATATTTTTCAATTTTATTTCTTGCCCAAAAATCCCTGTAGATAGATCTAAAAAAGTTAACTATGTAAGAGTAACATTAACTCAGCACTTTAAAATGGTTTATACACCTGAGTTATCCATGGTTTGAAATAAAATAAGTTTTCTTTTTTGTGGAAAAGAAAACCATAGGAGGATATAATTTTGGTTTGACCCCAAGAGAAATATTGGCAAAAGTGGAGATAATCAAAGTATTGGACTCTCCCTACAGACTTCACACAACAGATTTCATAACAGTCCAAGCTTCAGTGATATATCGTCGTTATGAAACTGTGTGGTAGCTATGATTGATAAGTTTATATAAAGTTTCTGTTTACACCATATCTGTAGCATCAGATAAGTTATGTTGTCATCGTTCGTTTTCAAAGTAGTTTGGTTGAGCAAAGATCCATCCAAGTGAATATCAAAATATACATTGAAACCCTGTTAAAGTATCTTTTTTATTGTATTTTATTTTGCTTCCAATGATCCAAACAAACCAATTTACAATTTTCTTTTACTATCTATATTCAATATGCCTATGTCTAAGGGGATCAAGCCAAACGTGCAATGGGACTTAAGTCATAACTACTTAACAGGAATGACTTAACAACAAGAACAAACTAAAACACTAAAAACTGAGCTAATGTAGACTAACAATGATAAATCTTTGTAAACAGTTAACATTGAATATAGTTGTGTAGTAAATAATCTTACTGGTTACAGTAGTTGTAAATCCGATACATTAGTGTTAAGTGCTGATTACACCAAACGCCATATCAATACTAGTTATTTACGAATTAATATTAATTATTACTCATTTTATTACTTTAACAAATGGCACACATGCACGGCACTATTACTTAGCGTTTCCTTAAAAAACCATAAGGATTTATCCTTCACACATTAATATGGAAGGTTTGTTTTGGCAAATGTATATTCATTCCAAAATTTATCAAGCCGGGTTTTATCATGAGACAATTCATAATATTTGTTTGTTTATGGTTCAAAATTGGACCCAGCAATTTTAACATTGGGCTAACCTAACCAATTTTGGCTAAAATCATCTCATCTAAACTTAAGAAGTCATTTTATTTATTTCAAACTTGTCGATCACTGATTTTTACATTTAATCTTTGCATCCTTGTGGGTCGACGTCGCAAAAACCTAATAACAATAGTAAAAATATCAAGAATAAGAGTGATTGGGCAAACAAAAACTGTTTTTTAAATCATTATTTTTTATAAATAAGCATAAAATAAGCCTATATTGTAAACTTACCAACATAAAATATAGCCAAATAATGATTGTGTGCAACCATTCCAAGCATCAGACCATTCATCTTATAGCCAATCTGGCAACTAATTGTAACATATAGTCTGAGTAGGATAATGTTAGTTCATCGTAAATAACTATTAATAGGTGTTTAACTGGGTTTCCTGAAATATTGTTTCACCTGCTCAGATTTACAACCAAAGTTTAGATTACCATAGCTTATTAGTAGCAAGCTAGTTTTAATCGTTTGAAATATAGATGGGACTTTATCTAAACCTGTATTGGCTGAAACAAATCATTCAAAACGTAAGACATCGTATAACTTCAAATTATTATAAATTCAACAAAAATCACGAACCTAATTAATTTTTATTTAACATTGTAACCTTTCGTTATGTAAAATGGGTGGTAGTTAAGTCTATCACATATGTTTTTTTTTGTTTTTTTTCTATGTAGTAATGTGCGTGGTTCTACTGCATGTACATATGTACCATAACTTCCACCTATCAAGTGAAAAAGACAAGTCCCTTAGCCGAAAAACTGTCTCTCTGCTTTTAAACCTTCCCTTCACAAAAAGAAACAGATAATTTATCTTAACAAACCCTTTTTTTAAAATTCTGAAAAAGTGTTTAAAGTTTGACAAGCTCAGTATTGTTTATCAGTCGAATGTCCATAGTTTGTACAACTTCCCTATTTTCCTCTGTCCATTGAGGGGTGTTGCGACAGAAGTTTGCTGCCGAGGTAGGCTGCTGTTGCTGTTAATGTAATGGATTAACCCTACTAATGGATTGGTTATACGGACATTTTTCTTCCTTAAATGCTGTGTTTAACCTTAAGTGGCCTCACTCAGCTTCTGTCGAGGTTGAATTAACTTACAGTAAACATTAACCTTTATTTTTAACACAAGACTTTTAAATTAGTTTTCTACTTAATAAATAGTACCATTTGTTTGTGACTTTTGTAATAGAGCAGCGGTTACCTAAAAAACCTATCACAGTTGTATGTTGTGTCTGAGTATTAACTTCTTTTTCTTCTGTCTGACTTTTTATTATTATAGTAGTACAAAATCACTTGTCTATACTTTAAAATCCCCCAAAACACTTAAAGTCTTTAGGATTTTAGAGGACTTCATTGAAATTAATATGTAAAATTGTTTTAAAATCATCTAGCATAT